AACTCGCGTGCTGTTTAAAACTGTGCAGGGGACTTCTAAGTCGAAAATGGCGATGAGACGCGCCCGGATGTCACGACGACCCATGCACCCGCAGCCACCCACGGAAAACGGAGATGGATGGGAGGTGTCGCTCCCAGCAAGCTACATGATTCAAGGATTGGATCCTGAGTGGAGAGCCGTAACCCTGGGAAGAGGTCAGGCGTTCATGATGGTGGAATGTTTGTGGGATGGTATGAGAATTAACAGGGGACCGGGGGACGATCTGTACACCGATCTTAGGGTGACGGGGACCATATACCTGCCAGAGCTTGGGTGACACATGTTAGTGACGGAGTTGGCACTAGGGCATGGGTTGTTGCCAATCTTCCAGAGGGCTACTAGAGTACTAAACTGGGTAGGCCAGAAAGTGCGAGGAAGAAGGAATGTGGGGTTAAGGACTCGGGTGGAGATAGGAGGTTGGCGAGAGTTTAAGGCCCCAATGACAGGGCTGAGGTGTCAAGTACCTCGCTTCATGGTAGACCTAGTATTCGGCAGTCTCAAGAGGGCAAGGGATTTGGTGGACTCGACCCTGGTCTAGATCCACCTCTTACGGCCGCAAACAACGGGCATGTTCTACGACGTGTCGGTCAGACATGGGCCGTTTTGGGGAAACCAGGCCTGGGAACTACTCGAATTACTCGAGATCTTGATATTCGGATTGCCCCACCTGTCGTTTGAAGAATATGAGCCAATAATTATCAGGGAAATAGAGATGGGGGAAAATTACCTTGCTAGGTTGGCTGACCTGTTTGAGGAACCGGATGAGCAGGGCAGGCCTGAGGGACCAGCATGAGAAAACGCGTCAGGAAGAGGTAGGGAAACAAAGGATGGGTACTAAGATAAGTAGGCGGTCGTCAGCAAAAGAGGGGCAGTGGTTGGAGTCCCGGCCGACCCAATGATGCGGCAGGAAGGAACTAGGAAGACCACCCGCTCCAAAAGTTCTGAGGCACCTGGATGCCAATAAGCCAAAAGGGCCATACCCGATAGGGAAGCCACTAGGCTCAGGCACCGCCCTAAGAACCTAAGCGCGACAGTAAAGAAATGTCGAGCGGCGGCAGCAAGGCCCGACGGGAGAAAAACCTGAAGGACGCCCTGGGAAAGAAAAGTCAGGAGAGTCGGACCAATTAATATAAGACGCAAAAAACATGGGAATAGGCGGGTTTTTAAAGCCGGGACTAGGACGGTTATGAACATCCGGCCATTTTTCGCAAAAATAATTTTCTCTATGTGCAGGCTAGGTAAAGGGAATGGCGACAGAAAAAGAGTTCGATGATCAGCAGAGCAGGGGGAGTCAGGGTACGAATGGGGGGAAGGAACGAAGCGAGGGATCAGTGAAGGATCGAGAGTCAGCAAACTGTAAGGAACCCGAGAAGATGGAAAATACATTTCAACATGAGAAAGTTCCAGGAAAGCTGGGGGTAGCAAAAGGGGACCTCAGAAAACAGGGAAGGGAAAAACAAAGTGAAAACAAGCCCTCAGAACTCGGCAGGAACCACCCCTAAAAAGACGAAAGTCTTAGATACCCGTCGCAAACTAGCAGAGATAGAAAAGCGATCTGCAGAATTTAAGGCAAGTCTCATCGAGCAGATGATGGCCGGGGATGAGAGAACCCCCAAGGCGTAGGGTCACGAGAGGGGCAAAGGACCACTTAGGACGAGGCCAGATATGAAGGAAAGGATAATAGCAACAGGGGGACGCCTAACAAAAAGGGGAAGGACAAGGACGACCCCCCGGCAGAAGGGACGGAAAACGCTATGACACCGCCCGTCATCGACAGCGGCACTAGCAGACTGCCCGCCACGCCAAAAGTAACAGGGGCGTGTGACGGACTTTGGAGCCTTAGGGAAAGAGTGCTAGGATGGTTTAACCCAGAAGGAATGCCCAAAACCAGGGAGAAACAGAGGGAAAGCAAGGAAGGGAAAGGGACCAGTGCAACCGGGGAAGCGGGTGGCTCCGAAGATGGTCTCAAGAGGGTAGTCGCCATGCTCAACAGGACACTAAACAAGAACCAGGGGTATCTCGCAGATGCAAAGAAGAAACTCACATTCGATGGGGCCAACATTACGGAGTTTGTAATAGACTATGAGAACCTAGCAGCCCTATTAAAATGGACGGAAGAGAAAAAGATGGAGCACCTGGGGCAGCACGTGTCACTAAGCTTGGGCAAGGACATTATGGCCATCGTCGCCTCCAGTGGATCCTGGAAAGAAACCAGGAATGAGATGATGAGGAAATACCTGAAGGCAGAGAAAATGGCAAGAAAGGCCGAATTAGCCGCAGTCCAGAGGGAAAACTATGCGGCTTACAATGATTTCCTAAGGGCATTCACGTTAGTGGCTCTGCGAATTCTCGGGGTAACGGACCGTATAATGAGTAAATACTTCCTCAGGCAGTTTTCCGAGTTCGATAAAGATAAGATTTTATCAGCAAACTAGCAGACTAGTAAGTTCCAATATACGAGAAACGTTGACTTCAGCACCGTAACAGACCTTGCGGAAAAGATAATGGTTACCGAGACGCTAGCCCCACTTAAGGAAGGGGAGGTCATAGATCTGACCGGGAAGACAGGGGATAAGGTCAAGAAGGGGATAGAGAGCCTGCAGGAACGGGTGCACGGGGTTAATAGCAAGATGGACAAAATGGAAAATGCGTTGTTAGTAATGCAGGCGCAAGTGTCCAGACCCGCCCACCCGCCCCAAGAGGCCGTGGTTCCGGCAGCTGTAGCAAACCGGGGGTTTGGCAGGAGAGACCCAGCCAACGAACAATGCAAGTATTGCATCATGATCCGGCATTTCGTACGGGCCTGTCCGAGACTCAATCACGATATCGAGCGGCAGAGGTGCAGTAGGTCCCTCAAAGGCGAGATCCTCGGACCCAGGGGGGAGCGTGTTAATTGGAACTCGCCAGGAGGGATGCGGTGAGCCGTCATCTTCCTGAATAACTTAGAGATAGTTGCCGTAGAAGCAGAGTCGATAGCCGAGATTGTCTGAGAGCAGCCAAGGGGACGGGGACCACAGGCCAATTTTATCCTAGAAGACAATGACCAGGATAGGGTAAATATTACCACTCGTCGGGCCGGGGCAGAAAAGAAGCTCATCCAAATACAGTAATGGAGGAACTCGTAGGGACTAGCACGGGCCAGCAAGAGACCGAAGCCGCGGAACAAGAGAAGGTCTATGGGAAGCCAAGGGAGGACGAACCGGTAGACAAGGCTACGACCGCAAAAAAAAAGTTCAGGTATCAAATTCCGATCCTGACTTCGTCAGAAATCGATGGCACCTTGAGTAAGCTACTGGGTACCATGGTATCGGTGTCTTTTCAGACCATGCTGCAAGCCAGCCCAAGGCTTCTTAAAGGACTCAGACAGTTGTTAACGCGTAAGCGCGTAGAGGTAGAGGAGGCCCCAGAACTGCAAGAGCAGGACACGGAGGAGGCCGAGGCGCCGCAAGCAGTCTCCAACCTCCAAAGCATTCCAGGGGGCCTGGGAGAGTTGGAGAAAGCTTTTGCGGACATCCGCCTAAGCCTACCGGATCGTGAAGGTGGCGAAGTCATGAGGGCGCCACCCGGGACAAAGCTTAGCTTTCATGCATTACCATCTGGGAAACTTAAAGTTCAAATCGAAACTTACCACACTGACGCGTTAGTGGACGGCAGAGCAGAAATCACCCTTATACGACGAGATTTCGCAACGGTCACAGGGTGCACGGTAAACAAGGAAGTAGCAGGGAGTATCCGGGAAGCAGGTGGCAAAATTTCTTTCACAGGGTATGTCACCAAATGTGCAGTCAGGGCGGGAATCCGGGAATCCATCTGGTCCTTTCAGCGGATGACCGTGATGGAAGAAATGAATCACGACGTAATCCTCGGAAGACCGTGGTGCGCCAATGTGGAAATGATAGGAATGCATCTGCACGACGGCACATACATGGTAGACATAGAGGACCCGGTGACCGGCTGCGGGGAACTCCTCCGACTTCTTGGGACCGGAGGAGATCCTCCGAAGGGTAAATTGGCAACCTGGTCTCCAACATTCGAAGAAAGTGCGTGGAAGGGGCATTCGCACGAATGGAAGGCATGAGGGAAAGGGTAGAAATTATGATCGAGGAGTCTTTTAGTAAAAAGGAATGGATCAAGATGGGTCTGCCCGTAAAGAAGAGAAGGCCTGAGGACGAGTCCCTGGGGGTTATGGTGACGGAAAAGGAGCAGGAACTTGAACTTAGGACCAGCCTGCCCAAGCCAAAGGAAGGCCGTAACGAGACCCCCGAGCTAGCGCTCGAAATCCCAGACCTGTTGCAACTTGTTTAGGCAATCAGGTACCACAAAGTGGGGGTGAACCCGGCAGCGCTTGCCAAGTTTGAGGATGAGGTTCGAAAAGGCTACTGCCTGAATGGGAAGATAGTTAGCATTCAGCCCCGTATCATGCAAATAGCAAGGTCAATCTCGACCGTTCATTTTTCAGGAGAACAATCCCAGAAGGCAGTGTGCGAAAATACAAACCCGTAGGAAAGAAGGCCAAACCGGTCTCGATCCTAGTAGAAATATCAAAGGAAGAGGCCATGGAAAAAGAGGAGGAGATCCTACGGGTTATAAGGGAGAGACGTGTAATGGAAGGGCATCGCATACCAAATGAGGTAGCAGATACCATGAAAATAGGAGTGCAAGGGTTTCTAACAACGAAAGAAACTCAATTGATAAGAAAGGCATGCCAGGAGTTTCATTTAGCTTTCGCTTTCAACGATCATCAGAAAGGGCGATTGGACGCAAAGCTAGTTCCCCCTGTCAGGATCCACACCGTACAGCATGAGTGTTGGAATGATAAAGGGTCCGCCTATGAGTTTGGGATAGCAGCGGACGTCACTGACCTGCTTAGAGCTAAGACAGATTCTTTCGTGGCTAAACCCACCGCATCCCCCTATGCGAACAAGTGGTTCGTGTTCAGGAAGCCCAATAAGATGCTCAGGTGGATCCAGGACCTGCAGAAGCTCAATGCGGTAACAATCAGGGACGCAGGCTCACTTCCACAGACTGACTTGTTGGCAGAATCTCATGCGGGGCGGAGTATTTACTCCCTGGTATGATCAGTTGCCGCTCGATGTGAGGGATAGACCGTATACCGCAATGCACATCCCCGTAGGGCAGCTGCAGATGCAAGTGACCCCTATGGGTTTTACAAATGCAGTAGCAGAGGTGCAGAGAATGATGCTCGTCGTCGCAGGGGATATGTTTCCGGAAAAGTGTGAACCGTATATAGATGATAATCCCGTAAAAAGCGCAAGGTATAAGGACGAGACAGAGGTTGAGCAGGGCATACGAAAGTTTGTTTGGGACCACCTGCGGGATATTAAGGACCTACTACAACGCTTCCTCGTTTATAATATTACTGCAAGCGGTCCCAAGAGCATCTTGGTCGTCCCGGAAGTAACCATACTGGGATTTCGTTGCGGAGCTTATGGGAGGAGACCCGACCCAACAAAGATGGACAAGATCTCCCAGTGGCCGACACCCCTGCGTACCACGACGGAAGTACGGGCCTTCCTAGGGGTGGTTGGGTTCTGGAGGATCTTCATCAAAGGATTCGCAAAGATAGCAGAGCCTATCCGCGCAATGATTAGGGAAGGCGACACTATGGATTGGATCGAGGATAGGGAAGCGGCAGCCCAGACCCTGGAAGACATTCTGTCATCCGATCAGGTCACTCTAGCAGCATCCTGTTTCAATGACGAGGTAGGACGCCCTTTCATCTTAGAAACAGATGGGGGACCACTGGCAGTTGGAGGAGTGTTGATACAGAGAAGCGAGGAGGGCAAAGAAAGACCAATCAGATTTGAAAGTAGAACCCTGAATTCAGCAGAACGACGGTATTCGCAGTTTAAGAAAGAGGTCTTAACAATCTTACATTGTCTTAAGACCTTTCAGGCACACCTGTTCGGAAGGCGATTTATCCTAAGGATCGATCCCACCAACGTGGTCGGAGCCCTAAAAAACTACAAGCCTATAGATCCGGCCGTTGGCAGATGGATAGGCTTCATATGGCAATTTGACTATAAGGTCAAGCGAATTGCAGGACTTCAAAATAGGGCAGATGGGCTGAGCAGGGTTTGTATCACGCCAGAAGGAGTAGAGGGCGCAGAACCAATTGACGCCTTCCTGGAGTATGAAGGAGGGACCCTTGTCGTGGATAATGAGATGGCAGATCCGACAATTACAACAGGACAGTTGCTGATTCAGACCCTGGAAAAGGGCGCACCTGCAGTAGTTGCAGAACTCAGGGAAGGACCAGTCACCACGGTCAGGCGTAAAGAGGAAAAAGACTCGTGGGGAGCAGAAGTAGGGGCCAGAGAGGAATTGATGGCAATGACCGTGGAAGGGGGACGGGACGCCGTAATGACATTGGCCGAATTCTGGGCGCAGAAGGAGTGTCTGTACTTAGTCAACCTCACTCGGGAGGAGCAGGGTGCGGATCAGAACGAACAGGAATTCTTCCTCATATAAATGTCTCATACAAATGTATGAGGGCGTTTTCAAAGAAATCGGTTTGCTGCTTGTCGGGAACAAACAACCCACGGAAGTCAGTCCCAAGGCAAGGGAGGAAGTAGAAAAGTACGTCCTAAGCAATGGTCACCTGTTCAAAAGAGAGGAAGAGATGATGCCTAGACGCATCGTCTGCGGGAGGTCTAGGCAGCTGGACATAATTCAGGCAATGCATGATGGGCTAGCTGGGGGTCACCGGTCGTCAAAGGGGACACTTGCAAAGATTGTGCCCCTGTATTTCTGGCCAGGAATGGCAGGCATGGTCGCAACGTACTGTCAAACGTGTCTGATATGTCAAGAAAGGAGTTCCGTACGGGTTTACGAGCCCCTTAGACCTACCCGGGTACTGGGACCCGGACACCTTGTTCACCTCGACCTTGCCGTTATGCCCGTATCGACAGATGGGTTTAGATACATCTTGGATGCAAGAGATAATCTTAGTGGCTATGTAGAAGTCGTAGTCCTCAAGAAGAAGACAGGGAAAGCAGTGGCCGACTGGGTGGAGGACTTCTACCTAAGGCACCCCTTCGTGCGCAGGTTCATAGCAGACAATGGGACAAAATTCGTTAACCAGGAGGTGTTGAACAGGCTTAAGACACTGTATGTACCGATCAGGATCACCGAGCCCAACCATCCTGAGGCAAATGCACCGGTAGAAAGGGGTTACCGCACTTTGAAGAACACAATCGCAAAGTTGGCAGCAGATAATTTGGGAAGTTGGTCACGGTTTCTCAAGCAGGCAGTCTTCGCCGAGAATATGACTCCAAAAAGAACAACGGGATGTATTCCAGCAGAACTCTGGTATGGAAGGGAGATAGATTTTTCGATAGAAGCTTTGGTCCCTACCTGGAACAGGCTAGATGATGACCCACACTTGAGCACGGAAGAGTTAATCACCGCACGTTGTCAGCAGGTTGCCAGAAATGAGGAGGCGCTCGATGAAGTAGTCAATCGTGTGACGGATAGCCGAATGAGGGATAAAACAAGATGGGACCAGGTTAAGAACATTCAGAAGGAGTCACTCCAAGTGGGGGAAAAGGTGCTATTTAGGAACTCGGCTCTTGAAAGCACATGGTCCGGGCAGCTGGGAAAAAGATTCAAAGGGCCTTATAGGATCGCTAAGCGCGTCGGACTGAACACATTTAAACTTGAATATCTCGATGATATTAGCATAAGAGGGTCATTTCCGGGAACGAGACTGGTCAGATTTTTTAGCAGGGATTCAGTGGAACAATGACTACAAGAAGCCCATGACAAGGAAACTGAGGGATTGACAGCCTGAGAGGAGGGTAGCTGGCTATAAGTTCTAGACCGCCTCCCTGTGGAAGTGATCATGACCACAGGGATTGTTCGTTTTGTGTGTCTTGACTTTTGTGGAACGTGGGGAGACTGTCTGGGCTGACTGTGACTGGGTCTGGGAGCATGGGACAGTATATTATAGTTTTTGTGGGGTAACGTTGGAGACTGTCTACACGAGGTATTTATGGGCGGGGACAATGTTCCATAGCTTTTGTGGGGTGATGCTGTGGACTGCCTACATGGGGCACCTATGTGTTGGGACAACGTGTCGAGGGTTCTAAGGGATAATGGGGCTACCAACTATGTGGGGGCAAGCAAGAGTTTTAGAGAAGCCTCCAGAGCCGCAAACGGGAGTGGGGGGGAATGCGTGTGTATGAGGGGTACCGACCGTACCGTGACTATTATATATGAACAGGGTCAGGCAAGAAGCAGGAAGACAGCAAACGACAAAAATGAAATTTGAAAATGAAAACGACAGCAACGCCATCAACAGGCCTACTGAGGGACGGTCGTCAAGGCAGGCCGGACAATCGAGCTCCAGGAAAAGGAAATTGTACGTGGGATTTGATCACAACTTGGTTGTGAATAGGGGAGGGAGAAAGCAAGGGACCAGGGGGCCATCGCCACTAAAGGAAGGGGAGCCGATAATCCTCCCATCTGAAAGCGACACTAGCAGTGAGGAAGAGAGAAACCCGGGGAAAAGACCAAGGCTGGACGAGGACGTGCCCGTGGAATTTATCGACCTCACCAGCGAGGAGGAGGAAGATGAGGTAACAACGCCCACAAGAGAAGAACGGGGAAGAAGGGAGCAGCCGGGTGAGAAAAAAGACAAATGGATAGAAGAGTTCGGATATGAGTTCGGCGATTGGTTCGATCAATGGGGGACTATCTTGCGATACCAATGGATCATGAAGACAACGGAAAAGTTGGACAGAGGAGAGGATCTAGCCCCAACAACCTTCTGTACAGAACAGACACTCCTCCAGTTCCAAGGAATAAAGAGGCAAATGGAGGAGGAAGGGAAGAATCGCGCAAGGAGGGAGGCTCAACGCAGGCCACCTGGACATTAGGGGAATAGCAGGCGCAATGGGGGGGGGTAACTAGAAATTAGGAAGGGTTGGTACCTGGGCAGGGACAACTGCCATTTTGAATTTCGCATTTGAACTCTGCCAAATGGAGTGAAATGAGGCAACTTTTGACTAAAGACCGGGCAATGGGTGCTACTTCGTGTAAGTCGTTGCCTTTTCGGGAAAATATATAAGGGTCAGTGCAATAGAACTGTGACGGGTTGCATTAGCTAAGAGTAAGCAAGGGGAAAACAAGGGGGACCTAGATGAGACGAGTTTGTAATGTTGTCGTTGCATTCGAACTCTGTCTCCTCCTTTTTTGGGAAGGACTATAATGAAACTACTTTTTGGACTAAAGAAACTATTGGGGGTTGGGAGGCTTGTGCTACTTTGTATGAGTATTCCCTTCTTTGGGGAAAACGTGAACTTTTTTTGGGTAGTAAGAAACAGACTTTGGGGATGATTGGCTTTGCCTCGAGGAAATAGGCAGGGGCATGTGAACTCTTGAACATTGGAAGATGCAGTCATGGCGATAGTTTTTCTTTCGAAATTGTGTACCCACGATTGAATGAGTCGCTCACGAGTCCTTGTGAGAGAGGTTAGGGGACGTATGGGTAGAGAGGCACCCTCTCCCCTAGGAGCCTAATCCAACCCACCCCAGGCAATCCCAGAGCATTGAGAGGCATATGAGAAGTCAGAAAAGTGGTAGGGAAACATTGAAATGATCCAACACCCCTTGTAATGGTTGAACGGTCGGGCGGGCTAGTGCTACTTGGGGCCGCGAGCCTCAACTTGAGTACTAGACGCTAAGTCGGATGTATGGATGGATCTGAGAACGACAAAAGACATGAGGAAAAGGAAGAAGCATGCGTAAAAACCCAAGACAATGGCCGCCTTCTAACCCCCGAGACGAGACAGGATCCGTGTCCTCAAGGCCCACTCCCTCGGGCGCTAACATTGCAATGAACAAGGATGACCCTAACCAGGCTGTCCAATTGAAATGGACAAGGATGACCCTAACCAGGCTGTCCAATTGAAATGGAGAAGGATGGTCCTAACCAGGTTGTCCGATTGCAATGAATAAGAACGACCCTAACCAGGCTGTTCGACTTGAAATTGGGAAGAATGACCCTAACCAGGTTGTTCGGAATGACCCCTCACAAGGGTCATTCTTTGGAATTGGCACTGGGGTCCCCTTGCATGACTGCTTGAGATGTATGATACGGGGAGAGCTGAGCTTTGGAAAAGATATTGATGAGATATTGAGCTGAGTCTGAAAGAGACATTGAGTTGGGCCTCTGAAAATATATTGGAAAGTGCGGAGCCTTGGAAAAAACATCGGAAGAGATATTGGACTCAACTTTGGAAGAGATATTGTACTGAACATTGGACTGAGATTGAGCATTGGACTAAGATTGAGCATGAGAATGGGACTGCGCATTGGAATTGGATTGAACATTGGAAATTGCATTTTATAAACAGGGGACCCTAGACAATCTGAAATGGACTTGGAAAGAGCCTTGAAACGAAACTTCTCTTTTTTTTCCAGTTTTTTGCCTCAGCAAGAGGGGGACACCCGTGCATGCACCGCGACCCCAAAACCTTTATCCCTTGAGGAAAAAAGTCTCAGCGCGACTCGTTCCTCTTCAAGAGGGTGAGGGTTAAGGGACTAAGGCACCTACCACTTGGATCGGTGCGGGACGTCCGGAACCACTTCCGACAATGAGCTCTGGTCGGGGAATTCCAACTGCGCCTCCTGTTGAATGCCTAAACGTCAAAGGGCGAGAGAGCCGAATGGGCAGGAAAACCATTCTCATTTTGTCTATTTTGCTGCTCTCCAACCACACGCCATGTCATAGAGGGGTGGCATGGCCGTTTGGGTCGGACCACGGCTGCCCGCACTAAGTTGGGCGGCACTGTCCAAAATGAGAGGCTTGGCGGAGTACCGAGTGGAGTTCGCGGCCACCACGGGGCATTGACACTGCCCTGCCGGAACATTACAACCATTTCGGGACTAATTGGGAGGTCTTCGTAACTGCACTCGCGGACGGATCGAGAGCCCCAACTCTCTTGAAAGAAAGAGGCCGGAATCCAGAAAATTATCACTCGGGAGGAACGATTCGCGAGGAACGCTCTTACGGCTAGACGAGGCCCTGACAGGCTTGGATTGGACCTACCTGGCAGACGTGAGGAGAAACCTTGGTATTGGTCCTCGCCACGTAAGAGAAGAAAGGTCGGACCGGGTAAAAGGATGAGGCATCGTCCGCTGGGGAAGAACTGATCACTCTTCCTTTTGTGAAGCGGATGGGCTTGTGTCCTTGACTTGTGGTCGGCGGGCCAAAGGTCTGCGTACCTCCGAGTGAGAACCAGTCGCGCGATGGGGACATCGCGTTTTGAGTGGGGCGAAGGTGTGCCGTCTACCAATGAATACGCATGAAAATAAGACTTGTAATTGGTCTTGGGAAAAAGGGGTCTGTCAAGATGGCGGGAACAGAAAAAGATAATAATTGACTTTGTATGGGCCTGAGAAAAGGGGGTTTGGCAAGACGCCAGAGCAGAAAAGACTTGAGTAAGTGACATGGTATAAACTTGAGAAAATGGTTTGGCAATATAGCCAGGAAGGAAAGGCCTGGTGTGATTGATTCTGCATAGACTCAGAAAAGGAATTGACAG